TAGTCTCACTGTGTTGCTTTTTGGATTCTTAATTATAGCTGATTGCTTCATTCCATTAAAAATTTGTGATCATCTCTTTAATACTTTTTGAATGATTTCGATGCGATGACTCTTTCAATTTATTTGTAATGCGTTTGGCTATTCTCGATATTTCGTGCATATAGATCGCAAGATACTTTGCATAATGATATGATAATAAATAAAATAAAAGTTTTTTCAAAATAATTACCTTTTTTGCATATCCTTCGTGTTCGGGACTTGTTATTGGAACACTGAGCGATTCGGATCGTTTGCCGATCGCTTTGGGCGATCAGCAAAAAGTTTATCGTTGTTATGAGCAGTCAACGGATTGGTATAAAGCTGTGCTTAATTGTGCAAAGTATTTGTGGTAACGGGCATTCATTATTGCTTGGTTGTGGAATGTTTAAGATGTCGATACTTATGGATCTATTCGATTACATCAATTGAAATCATTGTTTACTGTCATCGAAAGATCGCTGGACTACTATTGCTGGTTGTTTCAAACAGCCACTCTGAAAGATCATTGCATGCTTGTTCAATTGCTGAAGCGGTGTGTATTTCTAGGCTAATATCGAGTCCCTCTCCCAAGGATCATTGGGCAGTTTGGGAGCTCCCCAAATCGATGTGGCAATTTCATGGAGATGGATGAATCCCAACTCTGTTGTCGTTAATGTGCGGAGTGAAGGATGTCAAGGAAGAAGGAACTTCATGTCAGTGATATTGATGATAACAGAGAGGCATAAACTGGTAATGAACTGGAATTGCTGATTAAGTAAATGAGTAAATGAACACTTCATGTTCATGTATTCATGTGGTCACTTTACATTCTTCACTATGTTCATGCATTAGCTGATTGCAAACGTGACTCGAACATGTGATCGTTTTTAATTGAGTAGTAGCATAACATACGACGTATGAATCACACATGCATGGTTATTTCTCCTTCTTTCCACATACGCACTCGTGCACATCATTTACAATGTGGTGAAAGGGGTTTGTCATGTAGAGAGATATCCACATATCTAGATATATACACACACTTATACACAGACACAAAGGCGTTCATCCGTTCTTTGTGCACATTTTCAACACATACTCTAACAGTGCAGTCTAAGAGAACATTGTACGGTGAAAGGGTATTTTCTAGAACAGTTTGAGAATCTTTCAGGGTGATTTTGAGAGAAAAATTCTGAAATTACCTGAAAAATAAT